GGACAAATGGGCACAGGAGCAAGGGGGTGGGGAGGGTGGTCCATACAATGTGAATGGGTATGTGCACTGACCAGAGAGGGGAGGGAGAGCAGCAGAAGGGGAGAGTCAGAAGGTGAAGGAGGAAGATGGGGATAGAGAGAGGGCGGGTTGTATGGAGGTGGGTTGGGAGAAGGAGGAGGAGGAGGATTTGGAGGATGAGAGATTGGCGCAGTTAAGTTTTCCAGAAGATTTATGAGGGGGGAAGGCACCGGATTGGGTGGGAGAGGCTTGTTGTACTTGGGTGGGGCGGCTGGGGCAGAGGAAGGGGAAGGGGGGCTTCCCTTTGCCAGCAAGAATTGGGTCGTGGAACAATACTGACACAGGGAAGGTCGGGAGCGCAGGAGCCAGAAGGCCTGAACATAGGGAATCTTCGACCATTTTCCACTGCGTTTGCAGAAATTATCCAAGTCAGTGAGGATGTTAAAATCAAAAGTTCCCTTGGGTGACCATTTGGATCCATTATCCAGTCTATACTGAGGCCAGGCCACAGTACAGAAATGGATTAGGCCTTTGCGTCGAATGTCCGGGGTTAATCCCAATTTGTTGAGATTACTGAGAAGACAGCCCAGAGGTGTCTTAGAATTAGATTTGGAGGGTTGGTTACCCATGTCAATTTAAATTTCCGGGCCCTGTCTGAGTCTGAAAAGGCGTCCCAATTCAGGCAAAGACTGACCAGACAGAGTGAAGGTTAGGATAAACAGGGCGTCCCCAGGATTTATCGCTGACTAGAAGGGAGGGCTTTCCCTAGCACAGCTATGACTTCTGATAGGGAGGCCCAGAGGGGGAAAAGAGACCGACATGGGGGGAACTCACCTCACGAAAGTGTGAGTGGAGGAGTGGCTCGGAGATTTGCAGTTTGGGCTGGAGGTGTCCAGGCAGGAGGCCCCTGAACTGGGAGGTGAGACCTGTGTGGCTCAGTCACCTCCCAGATTTCGGCACCAAGATGTAATGTTTGGAGATACTGAAAGAGTCACAGGACAAGGGGCTGGTATAAACCAAGTGTTTATTGGGGGAGAAACTCCCGGGCAAGGTCCCGTGGTCCTGGAAGATGGGCCAGGGGAGTCGTGCCCAAGGAGGGGTGGCTCGGGTTTTTAAGGGTGCTGTATCTGGGTGGGTGTTGGGGGCGGCAGTGAAGCGGGGAGACAAAGCGTCGCATCCGGCATGGGCTGGAAGCATTGTGTCTGGTGTGGGCTGGAAGGTCCCTGTATGGCCCTTCTCGGTAGCTGGTGGCAGGTTCCTGGAAGCTTCAAACGAGGTATGTGGATGTGGGCTTCGGGTGGAGGGGTGCATAGGGGATCAGTGGGTGGAGGGGCAGATGGGGGAAGGTGGGTGCTACTTCCCTCCAAACCTAACACTTTCAACTACACTTCAAAATTTCAATAAAATTAAAGCATCATGTGAGTAGAAATACAAAATTTTGTATAATTCAACCAAATGAATATACTATATTTCATAATGTTGAGAACTGTTTCTCAAAACAGAAAATCACTTAAATATGGAAATTGGTTAGGATTAAATGAAACACTTCAGATTAGATAAACCAGACTGACCCTCTCTCTTTTGAACCCCACTGTGAATAAGTGGATAGATAAATGGCTGGTTTACAGAGAAGAATCAGGGTGATACACAGGTGATCTCTGCAATTCCCTTTGGCTTTGTAATTTAGTAGTGATAATTTTGGGGGAGAAAGATATTGGGAATATCTCATCTTGGTAATGAAGTGTGCCATCTTGGTATTGTAAACTTTTGAAAATATAAAGAAAATACAATCAATTCATACTGTTAAAAGCATTATTTCCTCAAATAGTGTTTCATAAATTATGTTGTTTCACATTTCATAATATTTCATAAACTAGATGATATTATTCTGGAGTACTATGGCTATATCTAAAACATAAGAAATTTTTTTCAGGGTAGTAAATCGTGTAATGAATGAAGTTGATTAAGGAGAATGATGAAATACCTAATACTAGTTGATCTTCTTGAATGTTGAAATTTCTTTAGAAGAGGAGATGATTTTGAACTTTTCCTTATGAGAGCCTAGACTATCTGGAAAATGTAATTGACTACTTCTTTTCAACACATAGTTATTCAGATATATTACCGAGAACATGAATGGTTGTTATCATCTTTAACTTTTCTCTTTCCTTGAAGTGATGATTCGCTTGCAAACCAGGTTTTCTCTCAAAAAAGCCTACAGCTCCCTTTTGTAGGTGAGGGATATAGTCCTACACCAGAAGAAAAGATGTTGCATTAGCTCTCTTATTTTAATTCAGGAATGGCACTTTTTTGATTTTGCAGTTTACTTTCTGATCTTGTTGTGAGTTAGCAATTCTAAATGACAGGATCTAAACCTGAAACTGAAATATTACCTTACAAGTCAAAACTAACACTTAGGAGAAAGCTGCCATTCATTCATTTATGCATTCAGCAAATGTTTACTGAGCACCTACAGTGTGCTAGGTGCTCTTCTGAACTCTGGGGATACAGAGGTAAACAGAACAGACAAAATTACTCCCCTCATGAAGCTTTTATTATTGTGAGCAGAGGCAGACAGTAGATAAATAAAGTCGGTTGGTAATAAGGGCTTTGGAGAAAATCATGGTGAAATTTTTCTTCGTAAGTAGAGGAAAGAGGAGAGTGCATGTTGCTCTTTTAAGAAGGGTGACATTTGGTAGACCTGCAGTAGGAAAGGAGCCAGCCCTAGGGAAATACAGGGAAACTGTTTACCTAGTGGAAAAGCCTCAGTAGCATCATGATTTTCCTTCCTAAGAAACAGCATGAGAACCAGGGTGACTGGGCTAAGAGGCAGCAGGGACAACAAGAAAGAAGCTTTGAGAGGTAATCTGTAGCATGATTTGTAGGGCATTCAGGAGACTGCTGGTGTTTTTACTCTAAGTAAAGAGCTTCTGAGCAGAGGAATGACATCACATGGTTTGTGTAGTATAGAATCGTGTGACTGCTGTATGGAGAAATGGTTCTAGGGGGCAATGTGGGAACCAGGGAATACTGTTAGGAGGCCTTTGCAATAATCAGGGAGAGGTGATGGTGGCTTAGCCAAGGGTGGTGGAAGTGGTGAAAGCAGTTAAATCCCAGATATATTTCGTAAGTACTGCTAACTTGATTTACTCAAGGAATGTGAGTGGAAATAAATGTTTGACTTCAAGGTTTGGGGCCAGAGTAACTGGAAGGAGGAATTTCCATGTACTGAGAAGGAGGTGTCGGTGCTATGCTATGTGTGTGTGGGAAGGGGGCATGGATCATGATTTTGATTTGGAGCACTTTCATTTTGACATACCTTTGAAACTTCCAAGTGCAGCTGCTGAAAGATATTTGAATAATTGAGTCTGAATTCAGGGAGGAGGTCTACGTTGAAGACATCAATTTGAGAGTCATCAGCACAAATATTTTTTTAAAAGAGCTGCTATACTAGATAAGATTCCTAGAAAGTGAGTGCAGATGAGAAGAGAAGAGGTTCCCTAGTTCAGATGCGAGACACTCTACTGTTTAGAGATGATGGGATGCAAAGGAACTATGAGGCATGGGGCTGAGAAGTGACTTCTGGTAAGACCAAAGGAAAATCCAGTGGGGGGCTATGTTCTGAGAGCCAAGTGGAAGGCTGCGCTTCAGAGAGAAGGAAGTAATCAGTGGTGTCAGTATTGATGATCAGAGGGGAGCCCCTCAGATGGCTCACTGAACCTCCATAGCAAGGAAACCTGCACTTCCTATCCCAATAACAGCCAGAACAAGCGTTTTCTCCTTACTTAGAACGAAGTGATGTTCAGACCTCTTGATTTGTTGCCACCTGATGTAGTACTTTTCCACTTTTGTCCTGCAGATCATCCACTTTAGAATGACTTGTGTGTTTTACATAAAATATACATAGTTCTGGGCCCCACCTAGGTTTGTTACAGAATCAACATTTCCCACTATAAGTCTTGGGCACGCCAGAAGATTTCTAATATTGATTGAGAGTTGCTTGATTAATGGAATCACATGAAATACTTTCTATTGGCACCTTACCTAAAAAACAACTACCAAGTATCTTTATATCAGAAAATGAAGGAATTAACCTAACAAAACCACTAGACATTCTATATCATCGAAAAAAACAAGACATTAAAAAATATAATGTGTGTTTCCATCATTCTAAAACCACAAATGATTGAAAGTAAAAACATGGATACTTTCCCTCTAGTCTTCTTCATTTATATCAAGTTAGATATAATTTTTTTTGCACCTCCAATGCAGATGGTGCTATAATTAGAATTATTGACAGCATTTTGCTGTTAAGACGTCTTCACCAAAACCATCTGCAAATTGTGATGAGTGGCATCTTCACTTGTTCAACTTGCAGAAAATGAAGACCCTCTAGCTTTGCTCATATTTAGTCTTCTTCATATGTGTATTTTAAATGGAGATTTGTGGGGTAGTAATTCCGGCACCTAATCTTTCTCTTGACAGCCAAGAAAGTTTTAGTTTATGAGACAAGCCAGAAATGGTATAATTCCAAAAGTGAATGCTATTCGTAAGTCATCCAATTTGTAAAGTGAATACAAAATGGTGCAGATTTTTAAAAATCTCCCTTTATTGCTCTTAGCTGATACAAAGATTCTACTTTGCTTATCTATTTAATGTCAATTCACCTGCTTTAAATTGTATTGTATTTTGTAGAAATGCATCAATTTCAATACAGTAAAATCTGGCTGGATGGCAGCAGTATGGAAATACCCAGAAGGATCCTTCTAGATTACACTTGCAAACCAAGATCAAACACATCCAGCTTACTGTTTTATAGACTGTTTTAATTTGATGCTTAACAAGGGTTCCTTACTCAGTGCTTGTTTCCACTTTTCTACATGTATAAAGCAATGCTTTATGTGTTGACCATGTAGTCACTACATGTGCTAGGATACTGGTTTTGTTGAGTCACATGGTTTGTTTTTGTACTGGGATTTCAGATCCATCTGCCCCACCAGCACCAGCTAACCTCCGGCTGGTCAACTCCACCATCAATAGTGACGGGAGTGTGACTGTTACTATTGTTTGGGATCTCCCTGAGGAACCAGATATCCCTGTGCATCACTACAAAGTATTTTGGAGCTGGACGGTCAGCAGCAAGTCTCTAGTTCCCACGAAGAAGAAGCGGAGAAAGACTACAGATGGGGTAAGTCGGAACCAGAAGGAATGACTGCATCTTGTTGGGGGTGTGGGGTGTTTGAACTCAAAACAACTGGCCTGGAAAGAGCTTCTGTAGAACTAAGAGAAGGAATGGATAGAGGAATGCTTCCCATCCTGTTCCTTTTGACTAAGAAAGTTCAGAGACTGCAAGAGCATGCCCAGTGTTTTGCCTGTTACATTTTAGGCAAAAAGACTGAATTTAGTCCATTGACCTACTCTTATCTAAATGGTAGTCACAACTTGAGAACTCAAAGGAAAAACTTAAATTGCCCCTATCTTACCCATCTAGTCATACAAAATGATATAATACAAAATATGCTTTATATTTAGGTTTTCTTTCTTTCTTTCTTTCTTTCTTTCTTTCTTTCTTTCTTTCTTTCTTTCTTTCTTTCCTTCTTTTTTCCTTTTCCTTTTTTTGTGAGATCTTTGTAAATGGATGAACCAATGTTCATGACTTTTCTAACACAAGGTGTTTCCATCTGTAATCTAATAAGTGGCCAGTAAACACAAGAGAAAGGGCACTTTTGACTATGTTTTTCTTATTGATTACAATAATCTGGCGAGATTTATTCTTTAGATGCGAAGAAATAGAATCTTCTTTGATGCAATGAGAGTCTTATGATAGGAAACATCTTGCATCATTTGAAATGCTTAGTGCATTGCAAAGTTATTTGATTTCCTTTTAGTATGCACTCTTTCCTCTTGTTACAGAATTTACATAAACACCTTTTCCTATAATTTATAAAGTTGAATTCTATAGATAGATAAATATTTAGAAATGAAAAGATAGCAAGACTATATATATATATATTTTGAGTTGGAGTCTC